AAATAATCGAAGCATAAATTAATATCGTCTATAGACCTCTCTGATACCAATTGATGGTTCCCGAATCGAATTCAGGTGCGGAAGCGTGGCGGGGAGGCGGATCGTGTATAACAAAAATTTCAGAAAAACTTTTGAGATACTCTATAGATTATATTAATTTATGCACGAATAAATTAATCGCATTAATTTACATCAAGAACTCAATCCAGAAAAATACCTGGAAGCCGACTCGGATGATAACTTGAATTCTTTGACCACGAACAGTCCTTACTCCAAGTTTGTGTTCAGAATACCAAAGTCTTCCACGTCAATTCCTTGATTCCACGTAGACGTGTGTGTGGGCACACGTGAGACAAAACAGGTTTCTTAAACACTCGAATTTCCACAAACACCAACGCATGCACGATGTGGAATTTTTGGAGAAAAATATTTTTGCTCTTTTTTTTTTTTTGAGAAATTCGGCCACACTGTTTTTAGGGCTGAATGATGTTTCAAAAATTGTGTCCACAATTTTCTATCATTCTCATATTTAAAGAGTAGAAGTCAAACTTCTAAACAGAATCAAATCTCCTATCTCCAATTTTGAATTTTGAACAAAACAAACCCTTCCCCTTATCTCCAAGGTGGCCAGCCAGACCACTAGGGGTTTTCCCTGTGTGTGGCACCAATAGCTTATAGGGAAGGAAGAGATTTTATTCTTTATCCAGTAGTCCAATTTTAATTTAGATTCAAATTCGAATTTAAGTTAAACTTAAATTAATTTGAATTCTAAATTGAACAACTTATCAAATAAGTTTAATGGATAAATCTAGATGTGTTTAAATTCAAATTTAAATAATCACATTATTTAAATAATAATTAATTCTCAATTAATTATTTTTTGAGTATTTAATTTTAGAATTCCGCAATTCTAAAATTCCCATTTTGCCCTTTGTGTCTGGTAGAATTACAAGGACGACGCGAGGACTTATGGACCTATAATCCCGAGCTCCAATAAAATTAATAATTAATTAAACACTTTAATTAATTAATTAATTCTATTAATTCCAATAGTTACTCCACTATAAACTTGGAATTGAACTCTCGAAATTATAGACATTAATTACTTCTAAACTGCGAAGTGTCCATTTGATATAGTCATTACATATAGATCAATCCTCCATAAATAATTCATAATTAGAGTCAGGTAGAATCCGTTAACCTCTCTAATTATATCTGCATCATTGAGTACCATTGATTCTCTAATGGATAGTGATTCATAAAACACATTCATGAACCAGAGCGCTCTTACTAATCCAAGTACCGAATCAACACTCAAGATAATTATTTATCTACTTCTTTCTCATGAATGAATGGATTCCATCTCGTATAATAACATTCCCAGCTATCTATTTCATTATGTCTTCAAAATACAAGGAATAGGATTCAGGGTCTCGGAATCCGTACCAAGTAAATCAAAAGACATAAATCCATAAATAGGAGTTTGTTAAGAACTCAGGAATAAGATCATCCTATATATGACCATCGGTAGACTCAATTAGAATTTCTATGCTTAACGGAAATTATTAGAAATTCATATTGTGTCTGTGTCCTTGTTCCACATAATCATATTATGTGAAATACACTCATTCAATATCTCGTCATATTAACAGTGCGGATAACACCGTTCCATTCTAAATGGGAATGACATGTATTAATAATGTTCTAATTAAAGATTCCAAACTTTAATTAAATTCATCATGAACAATGTTTTTGATTATTATCCTTAAACATTATCCTCTCGTATATAACACTTATATACTATGTTTAAGGTTACATAAACAATCACGGAATTTTCACTTGATATTCATAAAATATTCATAAATATATACACATAAAATGATGAATAAACTCTTTTATTAATTAAGTAATAAATATCCTATTGCATCTCATGCTTCTAGGACACTATTCCCAACAGTGGACGTAATACCGGTGGCACTGGTGGGCATAGAAGAGAGGCAAGCGGTAGTGCTAGTGCAAGTGTTGCAAGTTCTAAGAAGAAATGCAATCGCACCTCAACAGTTTGGGAGCACTTCAACACATTCGATGAGGTCGACAATAACGGTAACATTAAATACATAGCTCAATGTAAATATTGTGGTGATAAATTACAAGGCAACACTATTCACGACACTACACACTTAAGAAGACACTCTGAAAAGTGTCTTCAAAAGTAAGGAGGCGGAGCTGATCTCCGTCAAACACAATTATCGTTTGACTGCCAAACAGGCGGTCTAAGCACGTGGAAATATGATCCCCAAGTTGATCGTATGGAAATGGCACAATTAATAGTCACATTAGATCAACCACTTAGTTTTACTGAACAAGGAAATTGACAGCGTTATATTAAAATTGTACATAATCGTAATGCACAATTTTTTTCTAGAACTACTCTTAGGAAAGATGCATTAAAATTATATAAACAAGAAAAGGAAGCATTAATCAACCTTCTACACTGTACTAGTAGTTGCGTTGCGTTAACGTCGGATATTTGGTCCGCCATTGCCAACAAAGATTATTTAGCTGTAACTGGGCATTATTATAAAGGTTTTAATTTAGATAAGAGAATCTTAGGTTTTAAATGTGTTATAGGATCACATACTGCCAATTTAATATATAACATAATTTTATCTGTCATTGATGAATATAGTTTAAGAGATAGAATAATGGTCATAACATTAGATAATGCAACTGCAAATACTAAAGCAATAGAACTTTTTGAAAATGATTTAAGTTT